CACCCCTCCGAGCCCCCCGCGTCCCCCGGGGCCGCCCCTGCCCCTCTCTCTCCCTCCCTTACGCCATTTCCGTCCTTCCCTCCCCCCGCAGCTCCCGGGCCCCGCCGCGCCCTTCGCGCACCTTTTTGCTCCCGTTTTCGAGCACTTTGCGCAGCGCGGGCCCCGCTCGCTCCGGCCGCGCCCTTCGGGGGCCGCGACCCGCCACTCGCCCTGATCCCCTCACCCCCCGACCCGACCCGACCCCCACCCGGAGCTCACCGGCCCACGAAGTTCTCGAGCACCGAGCTCTTGCCCGCGCTCTGCCCGCCCACCACGGCGATCTGCGGCAGGTCGAGGTGGCAGCTCTGGCCGATGGAGCTGAAGGCGTCCTGCAGCTTGTTGACCAGCGGGATGAGCTCCTCCATGCCGCGGTTCCCCATGGCGGGGCCGGGAGCGGCGGCGGCTCCTCCTGGCGGGGCCCGGGGCGGCGGCGGCGGCGGCGGCCAAACTTCCCCTCAGAGTCTCGCCATCCGGGCCCGCCCCCCGCCCCGCCAACGCCGCCGCCATTGGCCGGACGGCCTGTCCGTCAAGCGGGCGCGGCGTGCTGAGTGGCGGGGAGAGCTGTCAATCAATGCGGGGGGTGGATGCAGAAGCGCCAACTCTTTTTTCATTGGACCCTCGCCGCGTCGCTCATGATTCCCAGCCAATGGGAGCCGTGTCAGCTGAGGGGAATGGCGGTGCAGTCCCGCCTCGCTGCGGCGGTTCTGCTGTTTCATTGGTGGAAAAGGAAGCCGCTCAGGTGCAAAGGCCAATCACCGCTCAGGACATGCCGATGAGCCTGCCCTTCTCTCCCCAGCCCGCCCTCCCTTCTGTTGGACAGCGCGACCGCCACTCCAACCGGGCTGACCAACCCGGCGGGGGCGAACATGAAAAATCCTCTCGCGATTCACCAGTCGGCTGTCAGTCAATGGTCTCTGCCCGATGATTGGCTGCTGCTGCTCCTACTGCTCTCCCCGGGCACATCCCGGGACCGTTATACGAGCACAAAGAGCGATATTCCTGAGGTAAAGCCCCAGGACTGAGACCCCTCCACGTACCCTGAGAGGCCGCCCCGGTGAGGGCAGCACAGCCCGTTCTTGCTGTTTGCAGGCTGTGTGTGTGTGGGGCGTCTCCGGGGTTGGATCCTCAACCACAGGGCCCAACATGGCGCCCGCGTTGCCCCGGTAACGGCCACTTCCGGCGTCACTTCCGGCCGGTGAGCCCAAGATGGCGGCGCCCATGGCGGGCCCGGGCTCGGGGCCGCTCCCGGTGCTTCGTGTCGTGGCCGAGTGCGGGCGGAGCCGCGCCCGGGCCGGGGAGCTGCGGCTGCCGCGGGGCACCGTGCCCTGCCCCGTCTTCATGCCCGTGGGCACCCGCGGCACCGCCAAGGGCCTCACGGCCGCGCAGCTGGCGGCGCTCGGCTGCCGCATCTGCCTCGGCAACACCTTCCATCTGGGCACGAGGCCGGTGAGCGGCGACGGGGGGGTGGGGGGGGCAAAAGGGAGGTTGGGATGGGGGGCAGAGGGCTTTACATCCTCCCCTCGGAGGCCCAAATTCCCAGCGGGAATTCCTTTCCCCCCCCTCCCTTCTCCCCCCAATTCCCACCTTCCCCCTCCGTCCCCGGGCTCCAGGAGGCTTCCCAGACCACCCCGCTGCGTCCCCGCATTCCCGCCGTGATTCCCAAGAAGCTCCAGGTGAACCCTTTTCGTCCCCCTCTTCTCCCCCTGCAGGGCCCGGAGCTGATCCGACGTTCCGGGGGTCTCCACCAGTTCATGGACTGGCCCCACAACCTGCTGACGGTGAGGGGGGGGCAGGACCCCCTCCTT